TTTCGCTAACCGGAAGCCTCTGCCGCAGACTTTGGTCTGTTCGTAGGAAAAAAAACCGGCCTCTCAAAGACCGTTTGTCCATGTCGAGATCGTCTTTTGATTTTTCTCTGTTCTTCTCACGTCCTTTTGTCGACGATGGAAAACCAACATGATCATCTTCGATCCTTATCTTTGATTCGTACCGGTTGTGTACATCCGCCCAAGTTGTTGCTTGAAACTCAAGCAAGATTTCCTTCAATTTCCGAGAAGCATCTGAACTTCTCGGATTCAGTCCCTTGATGAATGCTTTAGCAGCCCATTCATCCAGTATAGGTGGGAGAAACATTCTCTCCTACTGGAATCGGGTAACGAACTCTCGTAGCAACTCGGACTCTCCTTGCAAAATCCTAAATATGTCGGCCTTCCGGCCCTATACTTTTCTGGCCCCAACATGAGCCTTGATGAAAGAGTCTGCGAGCATCTCAAATGAGTCTATGGAATGCTCGGGTAATAATGAATACCACATCAAGGCTCCCCTCGTGAGAGTCTCTCAAAATTTCTTCAGCAAAACAGATTCAATTTCATGAGGAGCTAAATAATTTCCCTTCACCGCCGTTGTATAGGTGGTAATATGCTCTTGAGGGTCTGAAGTTCCGTCATACTTTGTCACATCAGGCATTTTAAACCGCTTCGGGATTAACTCTGGTGTCGCACTTGGCTTGTATGGCAATTGAATATGCTTCTTTGAGTCTAGACCTTTCAGCATCGGTGGTGCACCCGGGATTTGGTCCATGCGGGCTTTCACTTCCCTTATAAACCGTAAGAGTTCATTCTTGAAGGGATCATTTTCGTTATTGAGGCCGAATCTAATCCCTCCGGCCCCATCGGAGCCAACTTCGCTCGTCGGGGTGTTGTTGTCGACCTTCTACGTGGTTTGATTTGCGGGAGCACCAGGAGGAATCAAATCTCGTTTGTTTGCATTATTCGATGCCCCCGATAGCACCTGCTTCAACTCCGTCATAACCTTATCATATCGCGTGAGGTGGCCTAGAATGATTGCCTGTTGTTCTTGGATGACCCTTACCGCGTCAACGACATGTTCCTCCTCAGCATCATTGGGAGTTGTCTCTCGAACACGTCAAGGATATTGTATGCCATGCACCGTCATAGGGTCATTCTCCTCGTTGTGGGTGTCACTGATTGAGTCCTCGAAATGAGGTTGATCCCCTCGAACCTCAGGATTATGCGTGTTGTTAACACCGTTATCTTCCATTTCTTATGATTTTTTCTAAGACAAAATAATCAAAGCACGTTAGTAAAAAAGGCAAGGATCAACTTAGTTCCATAATAGATGTAGAATTTGTTTACCCGTAAAACGGTACAGTTAAATTTATGTGCGATTTCTAGACAAGTGAATTAATTTAATCCTAAAATAACAAGATAATTGAAAATATATATAACACTTAGCCTTGATAGGAAGACAAAATGACAAAAATAAAGACTCTAGTAGTGAAGTCTCCGGACGCAATAATAATAAGAACAAGAACAGAAAACAAGAGGGTAAAATTGATTAGAGTTTTGAGTAGATTGTAGTATTAGTTTTTGTCAGAAAATTCATGTCCTTACAATGATAGCAAAGCTCACTATTTATTGCTACGTCTAGGAAAGGAGGTCCTAGGATCGCACCCTTCTTTAATGTCAATTATGAGGGCCATTGATGAAGATGTAACGGTGAGTATAAATGCCAAATTCCTTGTAATGGGAAACGTACTTTATCATGTGGATATTCTCCATTAAATGCTACCGGGCGAAGAGTATTTATTGCATCTCTATGAGTGTTATTCTTCCCGGTGACAGACGGGACCGTTGCCTTCGATTTTGGCTATCCCCTTAGGTTTCACGTGTTCCTCTTTTGGGCGGCCACGTAGCATAGCATATTTTACCCTATTCAGAATTCGCATACAAAAGATTAGATAAGAAGTATGTAAAGACATTTAAAAGTTAGGAAAGGATCATCTCCGAATCCAAGAAAAATGACCTACTTGCCAACCCATTTGGAGAAGAATATTAGCAAAATTGCCAAAAAACAATTAAATATTTAAGAGCAAAATTCATTTATAGCCACTCGGGCCAAACATATATCACTCGGTAGCCACAAAATGATCTCATACAAGTCATAGCCTAAAAATAATAATAAGGGCTAGCAATTAAAAAACCAAAGCACCAGAGAAGTCTCCTGTTGATACAACGCTTAAGCCTCCGGCTGATTCAATGTCGAAGATAGCTGAAGAACCAGAGCAGCCTCCTGCTGAAACTACTCATAAGCCTCAAGCTGATTCAACATCGAAGCTAGCCGAAGCACTAGAGGAGCAGCCTAAGGATAAGGAGCATGTTGATGCTGGAGCCACCACAACTTCCATGGATCATGACGATGCATCTGTATAAGCAAATCTTTGTCGCAAATATAATTATAGAGATTATAAAATTTATTTCTAACTAATCTTTGTTGAGGTGATCACGCTCAACTATACCTTATAAAAATGACTAAGCGGTCGTTGCAAATATAATCTGGTTTACAAGTCCGGAGTCAAATCCCACAGAGAACTAAGATTTAGCTACAGTTGTTCAATATTGCTAAGAAACACAAGTCCAAACAATTTCCTAATTATAGAGATTATAATATTTATTTCTAACTAATTAACTAACAACTATTATAAAGCAGTAAAATTATCAACTAACAAGGATGAAATTTGAGACAAGACTAAAGAGGTCTAGAGTTATAATTTTCCCAATTATCGGAATCCTTCCCGCTATGGTTCCTACAATTTTGCCTATGTATTCTCTATTGATCGGGAGTACGTTAGGTGCCGTAATTCTCTCTCGAGAAACTACAATAATTTACTAGATATATTCTCTCAAACTATGCTAGTTGGCTTTATCAAACTGCTCACTATGACCACGTCAAGGCTTTGTTATTTCTAAACCTACCTTTAAACCCGTTGTATTGATTTCTTACATACGTTAGGAGTGACATTGTTCAACAACCATCTAAATATGTATCCTTTCTCAAGAAACACATAATAGATAGGCACAATCAATCGATGGCCATTCAATCAACTGAAATAAGCATGTAGTTGACAAATAGATAATTTCAAAGGTTAAATTATATTAAAACATAACAAGAATTTATCCTCCAAGAGGTTTCATCAAAACTCTAGATAATTAATTAGTTACTCATAATAGTATGTAAGACTACAATACTAAAAGTCATAACTAACAATGAAAAGTAGGAAGAAGAAGGGGAAAAACTCGTGGTTAAATCTTCCTCCTTGATCCTAGCGTATTCTTACCTCCTTGGGTGTTGTCTTATCCTAAAGTGGTGTTTAAGTCTCAAAATACTGTTTTTCATGTATATATACCAAGTAGGGTCGTGCCCAAATAATTATACCTTCTCCTACGCAAAAAAGGACACTTTTGCCGGACTGGACATGCGCGGCCGCGCACTTGGCCGCGCACTTTTCACACTTTCTGCCCCATATGCGCGGTCAGTGCGCGGATGCGCACTGGACGCACATATTTCACCCTGCTCTGTTAGGAATTTGAAACAACATAAAACCTACAAGTTGTAGCCCTTTAAATTATCTTTCTAACCATCAAAAGTTATGTACATTGTACTAGACAGTGCGCAATATGCCTGCTCGATTCTTCGTTCGTTCTAAACTATCATCCATTGATCCCCGAACACGATACCGGCTTAATTTCTTGGGCTTTTAATCAGACTTAAAAGCTCCAAATTACTTGAATTCATTACATAATATCTACATATCTAGGAATCACTCCTACAAGGCATAAAATACCCAATTAGTGCAAAACACTAGCGATTAAAGCTCAAACTCAACTAAAGTGCAGTATATTAGAGTGTAATAAGCGACTAAAATACGGAATTATAACCTATCATCAACACCCCAAACTTAAACCATTGCTCGTCCTCGAGCAATCAAACTACAATTTATATAGACACGACCTTTTTAAATAATTCTCCTAACTCATCACACCAATAATATTTGAAATAGACTAAGCACAAAAGCGTAACATCTTCACCTCAAGATTTGACTCACAAGTACCATGCATTATTCACAATTCACCCACTTACCCTAACATAGAGGTCACTGACATTACCTTTCCCTCATGAATCAAGTGCCCTCACACAACAAAAGAGAGTAGTTCCACACAATAAATTTTAAGAACACTTAGGAACTCAAGATAGAAAATATTCACTCACTCTCAGAAATACTATTCATATGCCACAAAAGATGTACCATAGGCTTGCCCGTAGTGTACTACTCTACTAATCAAGCTCATTCAGTCTCGGATCAAGTAGGACTTTATTTGGTTGTAATGTAGGCTGTGGGACGGATATGATACATTTAGATATAAGAGTGACTACACCTCCCTAAGCACTTTAATACATACACTTTAACAGTTAAAACCCCACACTTATGTAAAACCATAACTCCACTTTCACATAAATATATATTACCCCATACTTCTTTAAGCACAATTACATCAAAAGCCACCAAAGGAATATTATTCACAACAATATAACTATATTCTTTTTTCTTTCTTTTTCAATTCAAGTGACTTTTGTTTTTTCAACACAGTGCATCTTTCTCCTTATTTCATTAGTTCCAATCAAAAGCCCCACCATCCACCCCACACTTTAACCTTTACAAAGTTCATATCAATTCAAGTGCTTATGAGAGGTGAACAGGTTCAAATAGATGGTTAATTCAAACGAATGGGTAAGGCTTGTAATGTGGTTGCTAAAGAAACAGGATTACAGGCTCAAAGGGGTTAACTACGTTACATAACAATTAGGCGGGTAAACTATATATATCGGGCTCAACAAAAAATGCCTATATCACTTCCAAAACTGAACAAAACTACTATTTCGCTTTGCAAATACACGGGGCAAGTTCTAGACATCAAATGCAATGCACAGAATTTCAAAGTTGGTCATATCAAGCAACAGAAAATCTGCACTAGTCTCATAACCACAGAAACTCATAATACATGACCCGTAGATTCAATCCACCACAACAGAATCGCCCACTAGTGTGGACAAATATACAGGAATATCCAAGGACTCGTGAGAAACACCTAGGAAATGAGCAAACAGAGATGAAATATATGAATATGTAGACCCTGGATCAAATAGTACCGAAGCATCCCTACTGCAGACAGAAATAATACATGTGATCACGGCATCTGAGCCACTGCATCTGGTCTGGCTGGAAAAACATAGAACCTAGCTGGAGCGCCAATTGACTGGACTCCACCTGACTAGCCTCCACCTCTAGGACGGCCCCTACCCACCTGCCCTATGCCTTTGGCAGGCCGGACGGCTGGTGCGGCGGCTGGTGTTGTAATAATAGGCTAATGACCCGGTTGTACTACCTTGCCCTGAAGTCTGGGATAAAACCTCTTCATGTGGCCAGGATCCCCGCACTCATAACAACCCCTCGGAATGGTGGACTGCTGACATGAAGTCTGACCCTGATGGCCTGAATACCCACTTGAGGAACCCTTAATAGCTGGTGGGTGGTAGGAACTCTGTAGCATGGTGCTGAAATAGGGCCGCACTGGAGCACCCCGAGAAGGCGGCGGTGCTGGATATGTGGGCCTACTAGACTGACCCCTCCCAAACTGACCTCTTCCCCCATACGGAGCACCACTGAACCCTCCAGAATAATGGAATCGCTTGTCCCTCGGCACCTGCTCTCGGCTCCGCTGACGAACACCCTCGATCCTCCGAGCTATCTCCACAATTAGCTCGTAAGAAGTCCCCATCTCAACCTCTCGGGCCATAGTGGACTGGATATAAGAGTGCAAACCGTTAACAAACCTCTGCACACTCTCTGCATCGGTGGGAAGTATCATAAGTTCATGGCGAGACAACTTAGAGAATCTCTCCTCATATTCGGTCACTGACATCTGACCCTACTGGAGCTGCTCGAACTGAAATCACAACTCTTCCCTCTGAGAGGGTGGAATATATTTATCCAGAAATATACGTATGAACTGGTCCCAAGTCAAGGGAGGAGAACCTGTTGGTCTACAGAGGAGATATGACTGCCACCACCTACGGGCCCTGCCCTCAAGCTGAAAAGTGGTAAAGTACACCCGGTGGGACTCCAATATCCTCTTTTTGTGCAGTCTGTCCCTGCAACGATCAATAAAGTCTTGGGGATCCTCATGTCGCTCACCTCCATAAATAGGAGTATGTAGCATGGTCCATCTATCCAATAGCTTCTGCAGCTCGCCGGCCGTAGCTGGTCTGAAAGTGGGTATGGCTGTTGCAACTAGCTGGGCTCCGCCCATGGGTAGTGCACCCGGTGTCTGATATGGCAGTTACATGCCCAGGAGCCTGAACGGTAGGGGTCTGTGCTCCCCCTCATACCTGAGATGTGGTTGGGTCTGTTGGAAATAAACCAACCTGAGTCATAGAATCAATGAACCGCATCATACGGCCCATAACCTCCTGGAATCCTTGTGCGGACATGAAATCCGTTGGGGCTGGCTCCGCTGTAGGTACCTCGCCCTACTCCTCAATAGTCGTATCCTCCACTGGACCCACTGGTGGCACAACTGGAGCAACTCTAGGATGTCCCCGTCCTCTACCATGAGCTGGAGCCATCCCCTTGTCTTTGCCTCGGCCTCTAGCAACAGGGGAGCAGCTCTTCCATGGTCGGGTACATATGTCGCGCGCGTTCTCACCATCTGTGAGAGAATAAGAGAAAGATACTTAGCACAACATCAACTACACGATAGGAGATGAAGAAAGAGTAGTTTCCTAACACCCTATAGCCTCTCGAAGATAAGTACGGACGTCTTCACATCGATCCGCAAGACTCTATTAGGGCTGCTCATAACTTGTGAGACCTATGTGAACCTAGTGCTCTAATACCACCCAATTTTCCCTATAGGCCATGATGGCGCCCAACGTCGCCGCTAAGCAAGCCAACGGTTAACTAGCCATGTATTTATTCTTTTTAACAATTTCAAAATAGTTGATTTATATTTAACAAGTGTGGTGTATAAAATACTCAAAAACCATCAAATGCCTACTAGCATAATTTCAAGACCTGGTGTCACAAGTATATGAGCTACTAGTAGAATATACAAAATACTAAACTATTGTCTAAAATAGAGTAGACAGAAAATAAATACAAAACAGAGACTCTAGGTGCTGCAGAAAGGACTCGAAAGCAGCTCACCACTAAGCCTCGGGGTATCGGGAGTGCGCGCCGGAATGACTCCCAGATACACCTTCCTCAGATCCTACACGATTAGTGCAGAAGTGTAGTGTGAGTACATAAACAACATGTACCTAGTAAGTATCCAGTCTAACCTCAAAGAAGTAGTGATGAGGGGTCGACATTGACACTTACTATGGCCAACAATAAAATGCAGAAACTCTAAACAGTTATGGAATATGGAAATAACAATGATAACACAATAAGAAGCAGTGAATAATTGATTCTTTAACTGATAATAAATTCCAAATTCTGCATCTAACACATACTAGTTCCAAATCACTTCCAGTTATTAAATAAATTATACCTCTCAAGCCATAACATAATATCAAGTGTAATCGGATTTCGAGAATTATCACGGAACCTGATCCAAAATATTGCGTGCACTGCCGAGGGTCGAACGGCATGAACCATAGATGCATCTATTACACTGCCGAGGCGAACGACCCACTCCCATGAGAATAGATAAGTTTACCTCACTCGCGGAACTACTTGCGACGCTAGAGGACATGGATTTCATAGAGTTATTAAGTATTCCTCAATGCTTTCCCCAATTAAGAAATCTAACTTGGAAGTTTTCAACTTTAAAATCTCTAGTCTCAGCTTTATTTAAGATAATTAATATGCACAACGAGCATGACCGTACAATTAAAGCATGATGTAAATCTAAGACTACCCAGACATCTCATAGAATATAGCTACGCACAGACTCTCGTCACCTAGTGCATACGTAGCTCCCCACACAAGTAATTCACAATAAAAACAATACACCTAAGGGGATGGGTTCCCTCTTACAAGGTTAGGCAAGAGACTTACCTCATTCTCAAGATCACTTCCGGTCCACAAATACGCTCTAAATCCTCAACTTGGTGCCAAACAACCCGAAATTAGCCAAATATTATATAAATAAATCAATATATACTCAAAAGTTCATAATTTAACTATTGGGGTAATTACCCACCCCTAATTGGAAGATTCTTAAAATTCACCCACGAGCCCGGATTCTTGAAATTTTGGAAGATAGTTGTTTCCCATAACCTCACGAACTCAAATATATCATTTTCACCCAATTCCATAATCATTTTCGTGGTTAAATCCCAATTTTATTAAAACCTAAGTTTTTCAACTAAACCCATAATTTTCACAATTTTACATGTTAAAATCTATCCATAATCTATGTATTTAACTTACGTTGGATAGAAATTACTTACCTTCAATATCTAGGTGAAAATCCCGATCAAAGAAGCTCAAAAATTGCCCAAGAGATGAAAGAAATAAGTCAAAAATGGCCCAATTCCCGACTTAAATGAACCTCACTGCCCAGCGGTTTTCGCACCTGCGGCTCCCCTTCTGTGGACAAAACCTCGCAGGTGTGGACCAAGCCCAGTTCTGCCTCTTTCACTTCTGCGGACAACGGCTCGCTTCTGCGAGCCCTCTTTTGCGGCGTACGCGTCGCACCTATGACCTTCCCCGCTTCTGCGATCGCCTTCCTCGCACCTGCGCCTTCGCAGGTGCGGTCCCTGCCTCGCTTCTGTGATCACTGGGTAGTCCACGCCAGGCCACTTCTGCGGTCAAACTCTCGCACCTGTGAGTTCGCACCTGCGGCCAAGATCTCGCAGGTACGGACGCACCACAATTGGTGCACCAGCAGTTCTATTATGTCCAAACTTGGTCCGCACATCGTCCGAATGGCACCCGAGCCCCCGGGGCCCCGCCTAAACATACAAACATGTTCGTAAACATAAGACAGTCCTACTCGACCTCTCGAAACAACGAAAACAACACCAAAACTAAGAATCACACTCCAAACCAAATCGAATCAACTTATGAACTTCAAGTTCTTCCAACTCTCTCTGAACGCGCTGAATCATACTTAAACTAGTTAGAATAAAACCAAATTTTGCGTGCAAATCTTAAATCACCATACGGAACTATTCTCGATCTTGAAATCCCAAACATACCTCGATAACACCAAAACCAACTTCAAACCAAATTTAAAAAACTTGAAAAACCTTTAATGTGCCAACTTTTAATATTAAGTGTCGAAACACTCCCGGGTCATCCAAAACCCGATCCGAACATATGCCCAAGTCTAAAATCATCATACGAACCTATTGGGACCGTCAAATCCCGCTTCCGAGGTCATTTACTGCAAATGTTGACCCAAGTCAAACTTAACCCTTTTAAGCCAATAATAAGGAACTAAGTGTTGTGATTATAACCTGAACCCTTCCAAATCCCGAACTAAGCATCCCGGCAAATCGTAAAACAGTAAAAGCACATACGAGGAGTCTTATTTAGGGGAACAGTAATCTATAAAGCAAAATGACCGGTCGTGTCGTTACATGTAGCCATTGTCCCAAATGAATTTTTTAGACTTAGTCATTGTCCACCATGATTCCCAAATCGCTCTGAACTTTTCTCAAGGCAAGTGGCTATCCTATCACATAATCCATATGCTACTCTGTCACTCCCACTTCGGCTAAACCATCTCCTTTAAGCAACTTTTTGACCTCTGCTTTTCATACTTGACTTGCTACTAATTCAACCACCGCGAGACACCTCTCGCCATGTCCTTTCTCATCCTTCACTACCCAAATGTTGCATCAAATAAAAATTCATCTTTGTAGCACCTGAACTAATAAATTGCTTCCAACTCTAAGCCTCCTCGAACGTCATCTTTCTTGAGCCATTAACATTCGAAACACCGATTCGATTCTAAAACTGCTACACACTGCTATCTCTGACAACTGCTTCTTAGATACTATTTTACCACACCATACCCCGAAGGCAAATCAAGAAGACCATAACACCGGTGAGCCTTAATGCGTCCAACAAGGACGACGATACCATATCACAATCGAGAATTCCACCACGCTCGAAAATATCAAGTCTCGTTACTACATCTGTAGTACCACTGCAACTTTTCGATGCCCCATTAATAACAAGCGCTCAACATTGTGTAAGAGTGAGTGAGAAGGAAATGAAGGCATAAGCCTTGATGGAATCAAATTGCACGACGAGGAATCAAGAAGGAAAGTGCTCCTAACAGCCCTGTAGCCTCTCAAAGATAAGTATAGACGTCTCCGTACTGATCCGCAAGACTCTACTAGACTTGATCATGACTCGTGAGACCCACGTGAACCTAGAGCTTTGATACAAAGCTATCACGGCCCAAAATTCCTTAAAGGTCGTGATGGCGCCCAACGAGCTCTTTGAGTCTAGTTTTCAAAAAATCAAATTGTTTGTCATTTGGAGTTTTGTACCAAAACACATGGCTGTTACACTATAGACTATCTGAGAAGCATTTGGGAATGGTAATGGGAATTTGTTCATCGCGATCGTGGGGAAATGGCCGCGATCGCGAAGGGTAAAATTTGTGCTAAAAATTTTTGAATCGTGATCACAATGTTGGTGACCGTGATCGCCAAGGGTACCTCTGGAGCAGTGTTTAAAGTAATCTATTTCGAAGGTTTTGGTCATTTTATCATATTTTGAGCTATGGAGCTCGGATTTAGGCGATTTTGAAGGAAATTTTCATACTTTAGATTGGGGTAAGTGTTTTTTATTCGGATTTAATTATATTTCGTGATTCCATCTTTATTTTTAACATTAAATTAGTGATTTGAATGGGAGAAAATGAGAAATTTTGTGTACACTTTCAAAAATATAAAATGAGGATTTGAAGGCCGATTTGATGTCGGAATTGGATAATTTTGATATGGTTGGACTCGTATCGGAATGGGTGTTCAGATTTTGTGAATTTTGTCTGGTTCTGAGGTATGAGCCCGGAGTTGACTTTTTGGGTCAACTTTTTAGTTTTCATTAAAGATAGAAGCTTTATTATCCGAAATTATTTTCTATGGTTTTTATTTATGATATTAAGTTATTCTGGCTAGATTTGAACCGTCTAAAGGTTGTTTCACACGAGAAGGTCATTTTAGAGTATCAGTTTAGCTTCTTTGAGATAAGTATCTTGCTTAACTTTGTGTGGGCGAACTACCCCATAGGATTTGAGTCATTTGTGCTATTTGTGTCGTGTGAAAGTCATGTACACGAGGTGACGAGTACGTACTCAGGCTTATATGTGAAAAATTAACTGGCTTAGACTCTTAGGCTTCTTTCATGTAGTATTTGAAATTGTTAGCACATGTTATATCTTTTATTCGGCATGTCTACTATCACATGCTTTATTTGAAGTTGTCGTTACATGTCACATTCTTTACTTGTTGAGTTTGCTCTTATATGCTTTATTTGAAGTTGTTATCACTTTTATCATTATATGATTTCTTTGATTGTGGAGTTACTCTTAGTTGAAATTGTTGTTACATGATATCCTTTTGTTGTTGGGTTATTCTCATGCATTTAGACGTAGTGCTAGTTCATGCCATCTCTTTCATTGTTAGCGTATTCATACACTAGAATCCGAAGTTTTTCATTTCATAGAAATACTTTCACTATTGAGTTTATCCTTGAACAATTAATTGGGACTGAGGTTATCGAAAGTCATTAATCTATTTTAATTAAAGTTGTGTTTAAAGGGGGTGTTGTTCCTTGTTGAGTTACTTTCCCGTTCATTTTGTTGTTATTGAGATTCTATACACATTGTATTGAGCCGTGGGCTATTTATTGTGAAAATATTGATATTGTTGGATCTTTGGAAAGGTTGTGGCCTATGGGCACTTGTAATACAAGTTGATATGTCGTGTTACTGTGATGTTATCACATGTGAATTATTGTGTGGATTGTTGTTGTTATGCGGAGTATAAGGGTTGCATTTCACCGTTGTTTTTATGTAGGGCATAAGGGTGACACCTCACTGTTGTTGAATGTATGGAGTAATAGGGGTGGCTATTGTGTTATTGTCCGGACGGAGCGATAAGGGTGGCTATTATACAGAGTGATACGAGTGGCTATCGGAGTGATACGGGTAGCTAATGATATTATCGGGGCAGAGTGATATGGGTGGCTAATGATATTGTCAGGGCAGAGTGATACCGGTGGCTATCGGAGATATAAGGGTGG